TCATTTGACGTCTGACCTCTTCTTCAAGGTCAACGAAACATTAGAATGTGTAATGAATGCTACACATGTACTTGCTACATAAATAAATAATAAAATAGAATAAGTGGGTTTCAACAGGACAAATAACAACAGCCTGCACTCTTCATGCTGCAAACGTCTTAAAGTATTCTTTAAGAGAACAAAGTAAAAATAATATGTGCATATTATAATCTTATTCCCTGAAACCTAAAGAGTGAGCTGGTTGGTGGAGGTTTGTGCTCAGAGTGCTTCTGGTAACGAATGAAAACACACATGTTACAGTTCATTCACCTTTTGTTTAAGTGAGCGTGACCAGCGAGTATCAAATAAGATCTGATTGCAGATGGTAGGAAGGACGTGCTCAATCTTATCAAACTGCTGTCAGAGGTAAAAATTTAATTATGCGTTCTGTACCGATAAATGCTAACTGACAATTTTCTAATTTTTTTCAATGAGTATATACATTTTATCTTTCTAGGCTTAAATGCACCATGCTCTATTCACATAGCATTTCAATTCCTAAATTCATCAGTTTATCTCATGCACACCAGTAGATATATTGGAGGTCTGGAGTATCCCCTTCCTGTTCTGAACTGTACTAAACATTATCCGTGAAGCTGTGCACACTGAGGCATTGAGCCAGAAGTCTTACCAGAACATGATGGTAGCCACGGCATAAATGGTGAGGAACAGCCAGATGATGAAGGGATCGCTGTGGAGCAACACCCGGCCGTACTTTAAAATGGCCGTGAGAGCAGTGACAGAGATGGACAGCTGGACGAAGCCCGTGATGAACCACGCCACCCAGTGCACTGCATTGTTCAGACCCATCATCTTCATCACCTGCGAGAGAGACACTATGGTTACTATGCACAGTAGTGTGAAAAGTCTTTGAGCCTTATACAACACTGAACACAAAGTGCAGTTTCTAAATAAAAGTATTTATGAATAAGTGGACAAACCCCCAAAGCTACACGGCCCTTAACCTGGTTGGGCCTTAGCAGCAACAGCTGCACTCAGGTGTTTGTGATAAGTGGCAGCGAGTGTTTTACACTCGGTGGAGGAAGTTTGGCAGAATTGTTGTAATTCAGCCACACTGGAGGTTTTTGAGCATCTCAGTCTGACTCAGGTCAGAGTTGTGTTTCTAAGTCCAGAGCTGGACTTGCTGCTGTGCTTTGGATCATTGTCCTGCTGAAGCTTCAGCTTGAGGTCACAAACAGATGGACAGACATTTGGATGTTTTGGCAGAAACCCTGTTTGCGTTTACCACAGCAAGTCTTCAGGTCCTGAGACAGAAAAACAGGGTTAACTCTGGTTGGTCGGCTCCTCCTGGGAGGGGTCACCACTATTCTGTGTTTCTGG